AATGATGAATCTTAAGCACTTTCCTCACGCAGATGAAAATTCGTGACATTGTATATTATTATTTGTCCATATCTTAATACGTGTCCGCTATTTTATATGTGTGTCAAAAGTTTAGATTATTCTAGAATTATTTTTAAGTGTGTAGAGATCTTTCTTTAGAAAAGGAAGATAAACATCAAGCAAACCTTCAGTGTCACTTTGCTTATTGATACTACTTATTTGACTTTTTATATAATATATATCATTTCAGAAATTCTTCTTTTAACTAATGATTGTTCTGTATTTAAAATTTTAGTATTATCCCAATCTAATTCATGCATCTCATTCACTTGGTGGCATGAAACTACTGATATATCGGAGATGGATCTTCCTATATCAACCTTATGTTCTTTAATTCGAGTTTTTAATTTCCTTTTTGTTTGGCCAACATAAGAAGACTCACAATCCAGACAATTTATCTTATAGACCACTCCACAATGGTTCTCTTTACATAAGCGATCTTTTCCTGTTTTTATAAATCTATTAAGTTTATTTATAGGTTTGTAAGCAACATTAAAACCATGACTATGTGATAATTTATTAAATTTTTCCGATACTTTGCTTAAATGTGATATTACAAAAAACTTTTTTTCTTAAATTAGAATTAGAATCGTTTTCATTATTACAATCACTATTTTTATTTAAATTGATTCTATTTTCTAAAGTTTTTATTCTATTTTTGATTGTTAAAAAGATGAATTCAAGAGCATAAATTTTGACCGATGAATTTAATGTCAGATTTATGTGAATTTTGTGAAATTTTATGAATATTTGTAATTTTTATTGAAGATGGCCAGATTGTGGCCGAAGCATCTAAATTTATTAATGTAATTATATATTAAATATCACAAAGAATATTTTATGCTGTGGTTTTATGCTCTTCTTTTTATGAACATATGTTATTAATTACTACTAATATGTTAGTAGTACTATAAATGTTTTGTTTTTATATGGAAATTATTTGCGATACAAATTAATAACATATATTTTTACAAATAACAATAAAATAGTAGTAATTAATATAAAAAAATCCTATCTCTGATAAAGATCGAGCATTTATAGGATTAAATAAAGTTCTTTAAAAGATAATCGTTCGAATTTTAATTAAAAAAAATTTTTATTACAATAAAATAGAAGAAATTACAAAAATTACGAAAAATTATGAAATTATGAAAAATTTTCCTATTCCAAAACAATATGAGTATTTGCTCTTGTATATAATCAATTCAAAGTCAATAATTGAAAAAACGAGCAATATTATTAGATAGATAAAAAGAGTCATCGCAAAATTAGATATTTTTTTATTCCGTTTTTTGAACTTCTAATTTTGAAGCAAATATTGTGCCAAATGATTAATCATAATGAGACAATAATAAAATTTCTAAGTTAAGTATATAATTAGTTTACGAAATGTAGAAGGTCGAAGTGGTACCTGTCGCTATTGAGAAAGTATGACACTATTTGTATTTTCACTGACTTAATATTCATGTTAAAAAATAGTCCCGACAGTATTTTAAAGTATTTTAAAATCTGAAATCAAAAATAGAAAGTAACGAATCCAATATAGCTGCCCGAAATTGCGAAATTCAAAATAATCTGAACAAATATTGCTTCTCGGGGAGCTTTTAGATTGCTGATTATGAATCTAAAATCTGAATTCCAAAATTCAAAATGGCGGATACAATATGGTGGATGCAGATATGCAAAAACAAGATTTTTTTGTGAAAATCGAAGAATTATGCGTTGTTCACACACGTTGTTTTTAAAAGAGTATAAAAAAGAGTCAAGGAATGATTTACGGTTTTTAAAGGATGGATGAGTAAAAAAATACCGGAAGATCTTCTACGAGGAATTTACGAGGTTTTAGAGTTCAAATATTTTCAGATAGAATTTGTAATAAGATCTTAAAAGATCTCTACACCGTAAGCAAAAGAACTATTCATGAAATATGTTTAACTACAATATATTAGTGTTCACCATCCTGGATCCGCTATTTTGAATTTTGGAATTTAGATTTTATATTTGTAACTATTTTTTAATCTGAATATTAGGGTAATAAAAACACAATAGTATCAAACATTTTCGAAGGATAGGCACAACTTTGATCTCGTGTATTTCACAACCAGCTCAACTTAAAAATTTTATGCGATTATTGTCTTATCATGACTAATCATTTGGCTCAAAAATTGAAGTCTAGAAAACGAGCGATTTTTGCGGTAGCTCTTTAATTGTAAAAATTATCGTTTTTTAAATTATTGACCTTAAATTGATTATTGAAAACATTTAAAAAATTTTTCTACTAATAAAAAATTTGACATGATGCGAGAAGTTTTTTGTGTAGCGATTACTCGAAATACGATTCTAATATCAGAGAGAAGCCTGAGAATTGTGATAATGAACATGTTAGCTAATATCCGTTAGCTATTGTATCATTTTGGACGGCACCTGGTACTCAACCTTTATTCTTGTCCATATACACCAAACATCATGCATTGAATTATCAATTATGATTTTGCATCCGACATAATATATTCTTAAGATAAGAATTTGATAACAATGAATATATTAGATACGATACATTAGAAACCAAGTTATTTTATTCTTTCAATAACTCAATTGTTTTACTTAATATATTTTTATATGTAAAATAACGTAAAAAAAATTATGTAAAATAATCATATAAAAAAAAAACAACTGAGATATGTAATGCATATGTATGCAGCATTAAATAAATGACCTTGTAGCCAAGCAAGATTACGCTACAGACGTGTGCATATCTTTTATCAGTCGAGTTCCCCCAGTAGTTCTGTTGAAAATTGATATTATAATATAAAAAATTAGATGGTGCATGTAAAAGACCTTACATACATATGATCCTTTATGTGTATAATTTATTTTTATATAATAATATTATCTATAAACTGATTTATAAACTCCCATGTTTAAAAGCTTGGTCGGTATAGTATCTTTTTTCATCATTACTACGTAGTACTATATACATGCGTAAATTCCTAGTACGATAAATTGTTTTTCTTTAACGCCGTAAACGGCAGTAACAACTCGTCGTTCAGTAGTCTTGTTCTGTTACTTACTTGAGTACACTTGTGCGCTATCATTTGCCGGGAATCGCGGAAGTGAAATTGAACATAGTATTATACTTATCATCCTATCCATCATCATATATTTAGCTCAAAATCAATCGTAACGTTATAAATGTCATTTAATTCTGATTTTAACATTTGTCGAAAAAAAATGTATGACACATAAATTTTTTCTTCCTTAAGAAAAAAATATTTTATATAAACTTATATATAATTTTACATAATTATATATAATTGTATATAAATGGACATATTTAATATATAATTATATACAATTATATATAACTTTATATATAATAATATATATACAGGGTGTCTGGAAATAATTGCCAAATATTTCATGGGCAAATAGAGAGGACTAAATTGAGTCGAAAAGTACTCTACCATTTTATAATTTTCGCAATAGTTAACAAGATATTAATTACTAAAAATTGCCAAATATTGGTCTTGAATAATTTTTTACTCAAATA